AGAAGACTCTCCAGAATAAGAATCTCATGCAGAGATGGCTTACCTGTGCACTTTTCCACTGATATCTGAAGTAAATAAACAGTCTCGTTTTACTTCACCTGCTTGTGAACACAATTATCCTGATTGTGATGCTGATCCTTATTTAGGTCAGTCTTGCTTTGTGTCCACATCTTATGACTGATATACTTTCTGCTTCCTCAAATCGCTTAATGCCAATAGTCTAATATAATAATAATAATCATAATAATTAAGTTTTTGGAGCATATTCTGTGCATGTTGGAGAACATTGTATAAGTCTCTTTTTTTTCTCTGTATCGCTTTGGACAAGCAGGAATAAACTGACTATGAGCAGTGCTGTCTCAGAGTGTTTCCTTCCGTTGTAACAGTGTTTCATGCGTCTACAAAGTCTGTCACTGCAAACCATGACACATCACAGCAGAAAGAAGAGACAGAAACTTGTAGTGCACAGCTGCAGTCATGTAGAGGTGGCTCACAGCCTCCCTGCACCTCCTGCTCCCCAGGACCACACTGCTGTGTTGCTGGTACCTAGTGTTGACCAGCAGAGAGCAGCATAGACCCGCCAACAGAGGAGGCAAAGTGAGCGTTGACTCCGAGGTTTAGCAGATAGTGAACTTGAAAGTCTTGGACACAGCTGTCTGTAGCTTCTTCATTCAGATCAGCATCTGCTTCATCCTCCAGGTATCAAACTCTTTCTGCTGAAGCTCTGTAAAGCAGCTTGACTGACTGCTGAACACAACACATGCTTATGAGACGGAGTGGAATATGTAGGTGAAATTATGGCAAAGGTGGTCCAACAGCGCCACCCACTGGTGTAGAGTTTGTGTTGTGGTTGCCTTTGGAAATACACGTGGGTGAGATGTGTCTCTGCTGGTCTGGGATATTGTCATTTCTATGATATTCAAACTGTTCATATTTTGTATTTTACCATGTAATGTTTGAAGGAGACGACTCAGGGAGCCGCTTTCCCGTGTTTAATGTTCTCCTGCAGACGACAACACTTCTGGTATTTCTCTACATCTCCCTCAGCTATTCTACAGCACTGTGTGAGCAAATTATACTCCTGTACTCATACACACACACATTAACTCGCATATTAACATCATTCACAAGAAAGCATTTACCTAAATTATAACATTCAATTTCATTAAAACGCTAAAAAATCAGTATGAAAAAGTAAAAACAGTGCCACCTACTGGTGTGCACCAGAAGTTTCTTTCTACTATTATTCTGACATTTCACTTTCTTTAACTGAAAGTAATGATCCTAACCCACCTATGAGGACTTCAAGAAAGGACACATCATCGATAAAATGAAAGAGGGAGATTGTAAGAAAGTGATTGATGAGAGGAATATAAGGGACAAGCAAAAAAAGTACAGGACAATCAACACCTTTGTCCTTGAGATGGATGAAAAAGTCATAAAAGTCTGTACTGATGGAACTGAAATTGAACATAATGAAGAAAAAAATAGTTACACGTACGAGAGTAAGGACATGTTTAACCTTATTGTTTGTGAACTAGGGGCTGACTCTAAGTACACAGGTACAAAGAAGACTGCCAGAATAAGAATCTCATGCAGAGATGGCTTACCTGTGCACTTTTCCACTGATATCTGAAGTAAATAAACAGCTTCGTTTTACTTCACCTGCTTGTGAAACACAATTATCCTGATTGTGATGCTGATCCTTATTTAGGTCAGTCTTGCTTTGTGTCCACATCTTATGACTGATATACTTTCTGCTTCCTCAAATCGCTTAATGCCAATAGTCTAATAATAATAATAATAATCATAATAATTAAAGTTTTTGGAGCATATTTCTGTGCATGTTGGAAGAACATTGTATAAGTCTTCTTGTTTTTCTCTGTATCGCTTTGGACAAGCAGGAATAAACTGACTATGAGCAGTGCTGTCTCAGAGTGTTTCCTTCCGTTGTAACAGTGTTTCATGCGTCTACAAAGTCTGTCACTGCAAACCATGACACACTCACAGCAGAAAGAAGAGACAGAAACTTGTAGTGCACAGCTGCAGTCATGTAGAGGTGGCTCACAGCCTCCCTGCACCTCCTGCTCCCCAGGACCACACTGCTGTGTTGCTGGTACCTAGTGTTGACCAGCAGAGAGCAGCATAGACCCGCCAACAGAGGAGGCAAAGTGAGCGTTGACTCCGAGGTTTAGCAGATAGTGAACTTGAAAGTCTTGGACACAGCTGTCTGTAGCTTCTTCATTCAGATCAGCATCTGCTTCATCCTCCAGGTATCAAACTCTTTCTGCTGAAGCTGTAAAGCAGCTTGACTGACCGCTGAACACAACACATGCTTATGAGACGGAGTGGAATATGTAGGTGAAATTATGGCAAAGGTGGTCCAACAGCGCCACCCACTGGTGTAGAGTAGTGTGTGTTGGTTGCCTTTGGAAATACACGTGGGTGAGATGTGTCTCTGCTGGTCTGGGATATTGTCCATTTCTATGATATTCAAACTGTTCATATTTTGTATTTTACCATGTAATGTTTGAAGGAGACGACTCAGGAAGCCGCTTTCCCGTGTTTAATGTTCTCCTGCAGACGACAACACTTCTGGTATTTCTCTACATCTCCCTCAGCTATTCTTACAGCACTGTGTGAGCAAATTATACTCCTGTACTCAGTACACACACACATTAACTCGGCATATTAACATCATTCACAAGAAAGCATTTTACCTAAATTATAACATTCAATTTCATTAAAACGCTAAAAAATCAGTATGAAAAAAGTAAAAACAGTGCCACCTACTGGTGTGCACCAGAAGTTTCTTTCTACTATTATTCTGACATTTCACTTTCTTTAACTGAAGTAATGATCCTAACCTACCTGAGACAGGTAATGTTTATCAGGATTATTATTAATGTTGTGCAAAACTGAGTTTAAATGTATTTGGCCAAGCCGTATGTAAAGTGTATACATGTGGCCTGAATATTAATATTAAAAATATTTGTTTGGAAAATAGATAATAGGACATAATAATTGCATTTGTTCAGAAAAACAGAGCAGCAATTTATTTTTCTCACAAAAACTTTTCTCACACTTCTGAGATAATGATCTCATTAGTTCAGAATGGCTAGTGCATTACACTTTTGTATGTAGTCAATAAAGATTAAGTCAACTTTTATTTTGTTTGCATACATGCATGTAATCATTTCCATATGTCACAATTTAAAAATGTAATTTCTTATGTACTCACATACTCCTGCTCAGTATTATGCTTGATTAATGGATTAATGTAATCAACTAGTTCTGCTCCAGCTGTACTCTGTGATCCATATACTCTTTTACCAAATTTATTTTTTTCAGATGCACGTTTGTGTTTTACATTCATGCTATTTTGTGATACTATTCATTACTCATTACATGTATTGTTAATTACTTATCTTACATGCTTATATTAGTTATATTTAGAAAAGTAGGCCTTTTGTAAGTCTTCATATTGAAGTAAAAAGGGAAGTATTCTTCTCTTATCTCTTGCAGTTTAGTGATAACAATCTATTGCCATTTCTCAGTAGTGTGAAATGTGATAAACCAAATATGTAAATGGGAATTTCACACTTAAAATAAAGAATCACTACCTTATATGTACATGTATATGAACAACCGAAGAAGTTAGTTCCTCTTTTTACTGTATTTAAGGCAGGGGATATTTGAAGGTTCATGCCCTTCTTCCATTTTGCTGATGACTCTGTGCTTTTTGGTTCTTTATTAGATTTTAGAAACTCTGTTCCAACCAGAAATCACTTTTGGAAGCTAAAATAAGTCTTCAGCTCTGACGAGAGAAAGGCTCATTCTTGGGTTTTTTTCACGACTCTGCATCACACACCAACCTGGTTTGATCCTCCACACCTGCCTGAAGGTAAGTCCCCTCCACATGATGGGTAGAGGTCAAGACGCTAAGAGCCCAAAGCATTCGTTCTGGTTCTGTTAGGAACAGGCTGGGGCATGCAAAGAACTGTTTGAGTTCATTTATATTAAGGTGACTGACTATTGGACTGTCCCTTACAGTGGGGCCTCTGCCTGGTGTATCTAGAAGAGGGGTACAAGAGGGGAGTCTCAGCTGTTCAGTCACAGGCCTACCTGAGGTTCAGGATGGGGAGGGAGGGTTAACCCCAAAGTAGGTTTAGCTCCAGGGCTGTTTACACTTAAAAGGGATGGTTGACCCTTGGTATCGGGATGCTGTGTCGTCAAGGCCCGACACTCCCGGTGTGGGAAGACACCCTGAGAGCTCTGTGACTATTTAAGTCTCATTTAGGACAGTGAAAGTCCCCCTCTAAAGGGGGCAACTCTCTGGGTGACACCCCCGTGTTGCCACGGAGTATCACATAGTCCTGGAAGGATTTAACACACAAAGCTAAGGCCGAAAAGGAAACTGCTCCTGAAGAACAGGGACTATATTCACAAAGCATCTTAAGGCTAAAAGTAGCTCCTAACTCACCGACTGATCAAAGCTCAGGCAGAGAAGGAAACATCTCTGTCACTAAATATTCCAGCCTTTGATTTCAGTGTTTTTGGGGCTGAAATGACTAAAAATACAAAGTTATCAAACAGTTTTAAATCTTAGGTCTGTACAAGTGAAATCAAATGAGTCTCTAACCTCACAGTTCTCCTCCACCGTCTGAAGACATGCCAGTGATATTATGTTCATGGACGTGATCCATGTATTGGTGATTGATAGAGTGATCTACATTTTAATCATAGTTTTGTTTTGCTTAAGAAAAGCTTAATCGTGTCCACACATACACACACACACACACACACACACACACACACACACACACACACACACAGTGTTTAAGTTTCTTCACTTACTGGATGTTGTAAGCTATTTTTAATTATACAAAAAGAAAATAAATAAATATGTTTTTCTCAGTTTCATTTTTTCTTTCTTTGACCAGGAAATCATGAACGTCTGGTGCCAGTTTTCCTGTTTGCTGCTCGTGCTGCTCTCTGCCGCTCAGTGCACTGAGGGGGCAACTCCTGAGGACTTCAAGAAAAGACACGTCATCAATAAAATGAAAGAGGGAGATTGTCAGAGAGTGATTGATGACAGGAAGATAAAGAACATGAACAAGTACAAGGAAATCAACACCTTTATCGTTGACAAGTATGAAAACATCAGAAAAGTCTGTGACTATGGAACTTGCACAAATAATGGTCAATACAAAAGTATCACATGTACAAGTAATACAATATTTTATATTGTTGATTGTATACTCCAGAATAAAAAGTACAGAGGTTCAGCGAAATTCGCCAGAATTCAAATCTCATGCATCAATGGTTTACCTGTGCACTACATAAAGCATCTGTGAGGTGCTTAAACAGCTTCGTTTTACTTCACCTGCTTGTGAAACATGATTATCCTGATTGTGATGCTGATCCTTATTCAGGTCAGTCTTGCTTTGTGTGCACATCTTATGACTGATATTCTTTCTGGTTCCTCAAATCGCTTAATGCCAATAGTCTAATTATCATAATAATAATGATAATAATAATAATAATGAAGTTTTTGGAGCATATTTCTGTGCGTGTTGGAAGAACATTGTATAAGTCTTCTTGTTTTCCTCTGTATCGCTGTGGACAAGCAGGAATAAACTGAGGATGAGCAGTGCTGTCTCAGAGTGTTTCCTTCCGTTGTAACAGTGTTTCATGCGTCTACTTGACCATGTTTGTGAATGTGTAAAGTGTGAGTTACAAAAAGGCAGAAACTGTAATAAAGCTGATAGAGAGGACGGCAGAAGGAAACCACAGAGCGACTACAGTCTGAAGCAGATCTGAAAACACTCTACGTCACAGGAGGTTGGTTGTGACACAAAGGAGGGAAACACGACAAGGACAGGAAGTAAAAAACGTGAAGTCTGTCACTGCAAACCATGACACACTCACAGCAGAAAGAAGAGACAGAAACTTGTAGTGCACAGCTGCAGTCATGTAGAGGTGGCTCACAGCCTCCCTGCACCTCCTGCTCCCCAGGACCACACTGCTGTGTTGCTGGTACGTAGTGTTGAGCAGCAGAGAGCAGCACAGACTCGCCAATAGAGGATGCAAAGTGACCGTTGACTCCGAGGTTTAGCAGATAGTGAACTTGAAAGTCTTGGACACAGCTGTCTGTAGCTTCTTCATTCAAATCAGCATCTGTTTCATCCTCCAGGTATCAAACTCTTTCTGCTGAAGCTGTAAAGCAGCTTGACTGACTGCTGAACACAACACATGCTTATGAGACGGAGTGGAATATGTAGGTGAAATTATGGCAAAGGTGGTCCAACAGCGCCACCCACTGGTGTAGAGTAGTGTGTGTTGGTTGCCTTTGGAAACACACGTCGGTGAGATGTGTTTTCTGCTGGTCTGGGATATTGTCCATTTCTATGATATTCAAACTGTTCATATTTTGTATTTTACCATGTAATGTTTGAAGGAGACGACTCAGGGAGCCGCTTTCCTGTGTGTAATGTTCTCCTGCAGACGACAACACAAAAGTCATTAACTGTCTTCTGGTATTTCTCTGCACCTCCCTCTGCTATTCTGACAGCACTGTGTGAGCAAATTATACTCTTTTACTCAATACACACACACATTAACTCGGCATATTAACATCATTCACAAGAAAGCATTTTACCTAAATTATAACATTCAATTTCATTAAAACTCTAAAAAATCAGTATGAAAAAAGTAAAAACAGTGCCACACAGGGGTGGTGTAAACAGAATAAAAGAAGGAAACATTTAACAAAGAAAAACACGTACCTGCAGAAGACAACACAAAAGTCAGTAAGTGTCTTCTGGTATTTCTCTGCACTTCTGCACCTCCTGAACATACAAAAAAACTTTATTTACACAAGGAACTGATGCTAAAAACTAATAACATGCCACAAAGCAGTCTGTCGTCACGTGACTGGCACCTCTAACAATAAAATAGCGCAGCAGCATTTTCATTCATTAAATTTAATTTCAATGATTAAATAATAAATAAAATTTCCAAATACAAATTATCATTAGAATTACTATAGTGCATTTTTAACTCTGTTATCTGTCTCTTATTTGTCTGCGTGAGCTGCCTTATGTACTCAGTTATATAGCTTGTTAGCTTGGCTAACTAGAGCCCACCTGTGTAAATAATAAGCTTATAACAGAAGAGCTTTAAGGACAAAATGCAGAAACATATTCTAGTTTCTGAAAATGTGCTTGTTTTGCATGTGACTCCAACCTAAACTACATCAGCTCATACATGTTTGTTTTTTTTTAGTATTTTTCAGTCCTCGCCTGTAAAAAAGTCACATTACATAACAACCATCAGGATCTACTTTATACAAGAACAGGGAAAAAGCTCCACAGTACTTCTACATCTTGTCAGAAACTGCTCTGTGAAGCTTCAAGGCCTCTAGGACTAATACTTTAGTTTAGTAGAGTTTTATAGTTCATTTTTTCACTGGCGCCCATAAACCTCTCTAAAAGGAAAACTGGGAGAAATGTGCTTTAACTCTTTAATATGAAATAATAGAAAACATGAAGCATTTTGATGCCAAAGAAACAGTTTGGAACCATTAAAACAGAGCTGCTCCCTGCTCTCAGCTGTTTCCTCTCAAAGCCTATTGGTCTTCACTCTGAAGTGCCCGCCCCCCTAGTTTGCTCTGATTGGCCAGGGGAGACGTCTATCTAAGAGCTAGAGTCATTAAAAACGCTGTGGGGGAAAAACAGGCTTTTTCCGAAGGAGAGAATACGTCATTACGTCTCATGCTGGGTTACGCTCGCTGTCTTCCCCGACTCCCCTGACGGAAATCTGCTCATAGACTGTATAAAAATGGACGTGGACTCCGGGTCTGGAAAATGAAGCCAATGCGGAAGTGCCTTAAACTCGCATTCTCTGACCATCATGCGGAGACTCCACTGGTTGCAAAAAGAAGTCCGATTGTATTGAAGTCTGTGGGAAAATGACCCTACTTGTCACTTGATTTATTACCTCAGTAAACGTTTGATGATGTTCATTTTAAAAATTATGGTCCTAATTAAAAGAAAATAGACGTTAAAGCAGAGTGGGTTTAGGGCGTGGCTACCGCGTCATTAACACACAGGGAGACCTGTCTGTTAATCCGGATATGACGACAGAGCGATGAGTCGGTTTTCAGTTGATCAAAGTTAGCTCCAACATGTTGTTTACCAGAGAATGTCTTGTTCGGTGTTCAGTTGTTCTAAAAGACACTCAGAGGAGTCGGCGGTTAAATTTTTTCCGGTCAGTACATTTTGTTTTAAGCCTGTTTCTTTGCTAGCCAAAATTAGCATCCCTGTTAATATCACAGTTCAGGTGAAGATGCACCTTGCTAATCAAGCTAGCCAGCTAGTGCTAGCGTTAGCTGATAAATTAGCGATAGCTATGCTAACGGTTGCTAACCGCTGGGCTGATAACCTGTGTCAGCCTGGGTTAGCCCGTGGAGGTGTTCAGTCAAAGCCCAATAAAAAGGTGAATTTAATCGACGTTAATCTAACGACGTTTGGTTTGTGTTTCTCCACATGTGACCCAGTTTAAGTGATCTGCGTTAGTCTAATGCGCAGCGTTAATGTAAGTTAATACATTGTCCATCAAGACTTCGTGATAGTTCAAGTTAAGATAACGTGACGTTTACAAAATGTGTAGAAAAATATTTGTCATATAGAAGATTGTTCATTTAATACTCAAACCAGTCCTCAACTGAAGCAGACATTCACGCACCTATCCTGACAGCTGATCGATATTTGTGATTAACTGTGATCCACCGCATCTTAACTCAAGTGTTTGTGTTTTATTGTCATTTGAAAGGTTTCCACACTGTGAAAACTGAGTGATCTGTGCCAACAGAAGGAGGACCTCATGTACAGAGCAGCCCGTTTGTTTCCATTCATCTGGTTGTGGAGAAGGGAGACTGCATGGACATCCTTAGTTCTCTAATGTGCTGTGATGATGATGATGGTAGAAAACCTCTCCCAGTTCATCTTCCTCTGATGAAATGACAGACTAACTGCTGATGAGTTAGTTTATTATTCTCTGTCTTCAGGATTCACAGGTTCAGTTTCTTACCTGCAACTTCATTTCTGCTGTTGTTGACAGGTGATGGTAGCAACACTTTTAAGATCAGAATTTATAAATATTAAACTGATTGAGTGATTCAGAGAAGAAAACTGTAATAAGTCAAAAGTTCCCACGGTGTGTGACACTGAAGTGACAAGGATCAAACTTTGTACTTGTCAGTGTCACACACTGGGAATGTTGCTCACTGAGTTTTACAGTATGTTTGTTCATATTTACCATCTGCCTCATGATGAATCTAACAGTCACTTTGGTGAATTAGTGTTTTCATTATTAAAATTTGTAAGTTCATAGACAAATTAGAAAAGCACAAACTCTAGTATCTGTCTCTAGATCCTGTGTTGTCACTGTTGAAGGACGGACACATTTAAACATTTCTATCATGTTTGTTGTTTATTAAAGCAACATAGAAAGTCTTTGATTAATTACAGATTCAGGAAAAACTTCAATGTGTTGTGGTTTCTATACTGTGCTGCTGCTGCTGTTAAAATTCATACCAGACACGCTCCATAAAAACCATCAACAAAGCAAAGCTTCATAAAACTGCATTATATTCAACAATTTACAATCAACTGTAACTGAGAAATTAAAACTAGAATACAGTTGTGAATGAAGGTGCAGGTGAACTTCACTGTCACAAGACAAGTCTGCATCATAAAGAGGTGGATAAATCTTATTTAGTAACAAGTATAAATTATAGTAGAGATGTAAAATAATACTTCATAGCTCAGTGAGGACAGAGCAACAGTCTGACAGCTTGACTGGAAGCTGTTGCAGCCGTCCATAAGTGATGGAGGGAAGGTGCAAAAAGTCCAGGAGCCGTTATTCATCATCTTAGTGTTAGAAAACGTTTTACACTGTGGTTTTACAGTTTAACGTTAGCACACATGCTAACTTCAGCTACAATAACATTACAAGTTACTCCTCACATATATGATATCTGCAGTCAGCCTGTAAGACTAATGTAACAGTTGAGACAGCTAACCGTGTTAGCAGCATCTTCACACGGCTCAGCCAGGAGCCTGTTGCTGTCAGGTTGATGCAGGTGAGTTTACCTGGTGTCCTCGAGGACACAGGTCAGAATGCAGTTGTCAGTTTCTGTTACATCCCTGTTTATCCAGAGTCATTTAACATATGAACCATTTGTGTGAAATTTTGTCATAATTGCTGTGTGAAGTCTTGTGAGGTCACCTCGACACAGACCTTTGACCTTTTGACCACATGCGTTCAACCTTGAGTCCAAGTGAACGTTTGAATCAAGTCTGACCCTTTGACCTTTTGGCCACCAAAATCTATCCAGTTCATTCTTCAGTCCCAGTGGATGTTTGTGCCAAATTTGAAGAGAGGAGATATCGTGTCCATGAGAACGGGACTTGAAAACAATATGACAGGCTGTCGCTGGCAGCAGAGAATCTGATTCACAACCAACCTCCTCTGACGTAGAGTGTTTTCAGATCTGCTTCAGACTGTAGTCGTTCTGTGGTTTCCTTCTGCCATCCTCTCTAGGAGCTTTATTACAGTTTCTGCCTTTTTGTAACTCACACTTTACAC